AATTTTCTTTTATCTTTTTTTTGCAAACCACTTTGAGGTGGGTTGTTGGGGTTTTTTACACAATCAAGTGGTGTGTATACATTTTATAAGATGCATAATAAACAAGCCTTTGAAAATGCACCTCCTCACTTTGAAACCAGCCGAGAAGCAACCACAAATTCCTGCTGGAATCATTGGCATCCAGCCTGGCATGCAAGGGATGGGGAGGCTGCCAGGAGTGGTCCATTTATCTCTCCTTACGTCTCCCCTTTGCTTTCCAGGTTCTTCAGCTGCGCTGCTTTCGAGGGGGACATTTGGCACAGCAGCCGAAAGGGAACAGTCGCCTCGCTGAGCAGCCCGGGCTAAGAATAGCACACCCCAAAGGAAAGGAGGCAGAGCTGGCCAATTAGCCCAGTTAACGGGCTTTTTTTCAAACAAGCCAACCCGGTCCCATTAGACGCGGAGCAAAGGTCAAGCATCTGCTCTCCCCGAGGAGACGCACAGCAAGTCACGAAGCCAGCGGCCAGCGAACGTTTTGAACTCATCGCTGGCAGCAATAGCAGAGTCCCAGATCACACAGGTGTCCGTGCAAAGCGGCGCTCACCACTCCAGACCCATTAGGCGGCAACAAAGAGCAGAGCCACCATGTGCAAAGGCAGTCTACCCCTGTAAGCCAAGAGCAGGCAGGCAAACAAAGGAAGAATATTTTCCATAACTTTCCACGTTTTCCACCTGCGAGGTGCCAAAGGCTACCTAAAGGCACATGGTGACACAAGGGAAACCTCTCTGGCTGCCACCCCTTGAAAAGGATATTGTAGAGCTGGAAAGGGTTAAGAGAAGAGCAGCTACAATGACCTAGAGCATGGCCAAACTCCACCCTCCAGATGTTTTGGGACTACAACTCCCATCATCCCTAGCTAACAGGACCAGTGGTCAGGCATGATGGGAATTGTAGTCCCAAAACAGCTGGAGGGCCAAGTTTGGCCATGCCTGATAGGCAAGTGAGGGTCTCCCCTGTGATGACAGGTTGCAGCATCTGAGGCAATATGATAAGACACTTATAAAATTATGCCTGGCGTGGAGAAAGTGCATAGAGAAAAGCTCTTCTCCCTCTCTCATAACACTGGAATGCATGAACATGCCTTGGAAGCTGGAGGCTGAGGACAGACTGAAGTACCTTTTTAGTTGAACTATGGAACTCACTGCCACAGGAGGCATCGATAGCCACCAACATGGTTGGCTTTAAAGGAGGACTGGGCAGATTTGTGTGGGAGAGGGTTAGGGTTACTAGGCCAGGACTGGCTTTGCTCTGCCTCCATGACGTTTTGGAGAACCAGTTGCTAGAAACCAAAGGAGGGGAGAAGGCTATCGGGCTCAAACTCTGCTTGTGGGGTTTGCATTAGGACATCTGGCCAGCCAAGGTGAGAATTGTGTGCTGGACTACATGGGCCACGGGCCTGATTCCAGTAGATTCTTATGTTATTTCCTGGGAAGTCTGCAGGCCGCAAAAGGTGACGAAGGCTGAAGCTGGACCCTCAGGTGCCCTCTGGTTCACCTTTGGCCAAGCAGAGACCTCCTTCCCCGGAGTTGAAAAATCCTTGCTCATTTTCTGGGATGCCTCATTACTACGAAGCTTCATTCCTCGATCAACATGCCACAACCAACATGCTCTCACAGTCTCCTCCCCCTCAGGCCTTGCTCGAAGCAAGTTGTGGCTTTTCCGTTCCACAGCAGAAATTTATTCTGGATGAATGGAAGGGCTGGAGCACAGAAGAGTAGACAGCAACTGGGGTTTGTTTAAACCCACTTGGGAAGGGAAGGCAGCAGGGAGGGCCCCTGATTCTCCTAGGGAGGTGCACTGCAAACTGAAAGATTAAAATAAGAGCGATGGGGAGAAGAAAACAAAGGAATCAAAAATATAAATCATAAAAGCGTCACAGCTTAGAAGGACAAAAGTGCAAAGATACTGCACAGCTCAAAAGGGTCAATAAAATATTAACTCACACGAAGATTCCCTTCGCAAATAACAAAGATTTATAAAAGTATTCTCCACCTGTGAGTTCCATCATGGAGACTAAAGGTTCTCTGTAGTCTTAAATGAGCCAGATATTTGCATATGCCAGTGGCGCTGAGTGACCCCCGTGCCTCAATATTTGTATGAGAAATAAAAGCAGCCACGACCTCTTTTACAAAAGCCAGCATCTGTGAGTCAAGGATGATTTGTACAAAAGAAGACCCTCAAACCCATCTAGCCAAGATCCCTGCCAGCGACTCATGAGTCTTGGCCCATCCTCAAAAACAAGAATCCTCTAATGCGCGGGAAGATTTCAGACAGATAAAAGAAAGGACTTCTTCACCCAGCACATAGTTAAACTACGGAACTCCCTGCCACAGGAGCCAGTGATGGCTACCAACCTAGACGGCTTTAAAAGAGGATTAGACAAATTCATGGAGAAGGAGAAGGCTATCGATGGCTACTAGCCACAATGACTATACTCTGCCTCCACGGTCAGAAGCGGCAATGCTTCGTCCTGCTTATGGTCTTCATTTTGGTTGGCTGCTATGAGAACAGGATGCTGGCCTAGATGAGCCATTGGCCTGATCCAGCAGTCTTTCCTTATGGCTCGTGGGTTTATGCACCTCTGTTGGAATGCCTTGCTGAGTCAGGCAGTCATTGGACCACGGAGGTCAGCGCTGTCTGCATCACGGATGGGGAAGCGGGGGCTCATGGGAGCTGTAGTTCAAGAACACCTGGAGGGCACAGGGGAGTCATGTGGTGTGAAGTCACAGAAAGTCAGAGTTGGAAGGGACCATCTAGTCCAAGGGTCAGCAAACTTTTTCAGCAGGGGGGCGGTCCACTGTCCCTCAGACCTTGTGGGGGGGCTATTGGGGGTGGTGAACGAATTCCTATGCCCCACAAACAACCCAGAGATGCATTTTAAATAAAATGGCACATTCTACTCATGTAAAAACACGCTGATTCCCGGACCGTCTGTGGGCCGGATTTAGAAGGCGATTGGGCCGGATCCAGCCCCCGGGCCTAAGTTTGCCTACCCATGATCTAGTCCAACCATGCAGGAATCTTTCCCCCCAATGTGGGGCTGGAGCCCACAACTCTTGAGACCCTGGGATTAAGAGTCTCATGCTCTACCAACTGATCTATCCCAGGAAACCTTGGTCCACACTGACCTTCAGCATCTCACTAGGGTGTTGGGCTGGCATCTGTCCCTACCTGGAGATGCCACGGGTTGAACCTGGGACCTTCTGCATGCAAATCAGGCGCTCTAACCGCTGGCCTATGCTGAGCCTGGATAGCTCAGATGGTAAAGCACGAGACTCTTCATCGCAGTGTTCTGGGTTCGAGCCCCACGTTGGGCAAAAAGATAGCTGCATTGCAGGCGGATGGACTGAGATGACCCTCGTGGTCCCTTCAAACTCTACAATCTGACAATTCTTTGGGGCCATCAGAATGCAGCCAAACCCACAAATGTCAGGACTTCCGTCTCACTGGAAAGTGGGTAGGTTGTCTTAGCTTCTCCAAAAGAAGCAACAACGTCCTGAATCCATACCCAGACCACCCCTTCCTTAAATCCACAACCAACCTTACTCATAAGGAAGCCACAGACTGTTGCACGGTAGCAACAGGTGTTGCATGCTCAACAGGTGACTTCTAAGGTGCTAGCCCTCAAGCACGCAGAAAGTCTCAGGTCTCCATTTCAATCTTTGCCCCTGCCTGCCCTGGAGAAATTTGCTGTGTGTTACAGCAAGGGTAGGGGGGACATCTGTAGTCTCCCCCCCCCCATCGTTGGGCTCCAACTCCCATCATCCTCCCTGGCTGGGGTTGATGGGAGTTGGAGTCTAGCATCCACAGTCTCCCATTCCCAAATTACAGGAACGACACAACAAAAACAACAAAGTTTTGCATTGGCTCAAACAGGATCCTTTTTAGGCAGTCAAAGACCAGGAGGGCAGTCACCTGGGATGCCTGTGGTTGCCAGAGGCAAAAAAGCACGGAAAGAAAATTCCGCTTGGGAAAACAACATACCACGGCTCCCTTCTCGTCATTCAAAAAAGTTACGGCTTCCAACCAAAATCAGTTAAACAATTATACAATTAGGTGCTTGAAACAAGCTGGCAGAATTTAAGCAGCCCCCTTAGTAAAGAACAGCCATGTTAAGGCTGGACTCCTGAGCACCCTTCCCCGGGAGCAAAGCCCCCACCCCCGTGAAGACAGAAAGAGTCTCTATTGTGAGTAAAAGGCCCACCCCCCCGGAAAGAAAAGTCACCCCAGCTCGCCCCATCGATGGGGCTCCCCATTAGCAACCTTTCCCTTTGGGGCTGTGGTGGCCAACAGCATCACCAGAGCTTGGCTCACCCCACGCCCTCAGGGTGATAGAGCAGGCACTCTGCAGATGCTCAGGAGCCCCCTCTCCCCTCTGACGCCCGCACGTCCCAGACATGCGCGCTGCGACGTCCCTAGGAGGAGGACGGGGTCTAATCTTCGTCAACCCCCCCCCAAGAGAATTCAAAAGAGATGGCGGGCGTAGGGCAGTTTGCCTCATCATTCCCAATTCCACGGGGTTGAAGACCAGATCCGCACACGAGATGCCGCCCTTGTTCCTGCAGATCAGAACTGGGGCGACTCCTCCAACCAGCCCCCTATCTCTCCACCCCACACCCACGAATCAACAAGGCGATATGGAGGCGCGAGGAGCGGGCACAGCCTTGTCGTCCGTTCCCTGGAGAGTTGAGGGGGGGCAACATGTTCCACGACCCCCGCCGCACGCATCCATGCCGCCGCACGCATCCATGGACGGCACCGCCCTATGGAGAGAGGAGGGATCGCTGTCGTCCCCCTCCGGTTCTACGCTGGCTCCCTTTTCGACGGGGAGGTTCGCTCAGCTTCAAATGGAGGGGGCAAGGCTGGAGGGGCCACGGTTGGAGGGGACCCCTCCCTGTTAGCCTTGTGATGGGGCTCCACCCCGTCTCCCTCCCGCGGCCCCTTCCCCGACGGGGCTCACCGTGCGCAGCTCCTGCGTCCGATCCTTCATGGCTCCGGCTCCGCTCTCTTGGGCGGCGATCGAGGGAGGAGCAGCAAGCCGCGACGGCGGGGGGGGGGGCGGCACATGCGCGGGAGCCCGAGCAGGAGGGAGGGGAGCGGGGAGCGGCCGCCCGCCTGTCTGTCTGTCCGTCCGCCCACTCCGCTACGGCCGCCTCCGCGTCGCCGCCCACCCGCGACGGAGCCACCCCCGAAGGTGCCCGAGGCGCGCGAAGCCCCCACCGAACTCTACAGTCGCTTTGGGAGAAATGGAACACCGCCCCGCCTTCTTCGGCGGATCTCCAGCTGCGCGAGGCGCCTGCACTCCCTACATGCTCAGAAGCACGCTCAGTTCCTCGACAGGTTTAATTTGTAAGCAAGCCCCGTCTGGTTCAATGGGCCCCAGCTTATTTTTTTAAGCTTCAGAGAGCCTGAAAGAGGAACCTGCCTTGCGGCGGGAGTGACGGGGCAGTCGTTTATAGGCCTGGAAAAGCTTTCAGCTATGGCTAGTTTCTGTGGCTGTTAAAAGCTCAGGAACACACGTGTGTGAGTATGTATGTGTGCATGCATGTACATGTGTATATGTATGTGTACTTTGACTGTGAGCAGGTGAGCTTGGTCAGCATGGCGGAGGAGGAAAAGAAGGGGTTAAACAAGGTGACTTGCCTTTGCAATTGTTGCTTCCCTAAACTGAATTGCAGGGGGTTGGACTAGATGACCCCTGGGGTCCCTTCCAACCCTCCAATTCTATGACTGTATTCTAAGTTGTGTTTTCTCACAAGCCCTGTGTGCGAATAACCCAGCAGCCTTCTCAAAACCCCATTTCAGCAAGGCTTGGTCAGATCAGAAGCAATAGCTTCCATCTTTAAGTCTCCCCACTCCCTACCACCTTGGCAGTCTCCATTAGGAGCTGCCTTTGCAAAACAAGCCTGTTCCCCTCTGATTAAAAAAACAACTCTGCACATGCTCAGAGGCAGAGTGCTGGGATTTCTGGAATGGGAAACTGAATGCATTGTATGGATCATCATAGTCAAAGGCCAAATACAGAGAGTTGTTTGCGGGGACACAAAATGAGACTAGCTGGGTTGCTACCTAGCCATGGCTGCTAACTGACCAGAGGTCAAGAGCACCCCAGGGCTGGCGTTTACCCACACCAAGCCACGGCTGAAAGACGCAGCGGCAGTGGCTGGTCGAGAAATTGGCAACCCATAACCTGACTCGTTTCCATGCATGTTGCCATGAGTGCAAGAGAATCCTAGGGATGGCGCTCCCTGATCTATGTCCCCAAAGAGCACGAAGGGAGACGGCGGCGGCGTCTCGGGAACAGCTAGCAAGATGTGCTCTGGTGTTCTGCCACCTGCTGGTCGCGGAGAGTACAGCAGCGTGCCCTGCAGAATCTGTGCGGATAATATATTTATTAGTCTTAAGGATATAAGAAAAGCCTGCTGGATCAGGCCAGTGGCCCATCTAGTCCAGCATCCTGTCCTCGCAGTGGCCAACCAGATAGATGCCTGTGGGAAACCTGTAAGCAGGACCTTAGCCCAAGAGCCTTCTCCCCTCCTGTGGTCTCCCATCAGCTGGTATTCAGGAGCATTGCTGCCTCTGACTGTGGAGGCAGTAGCCATTGATAGCCCTCTCCTCCACAAATTATTAGTTTACTATCATTCTTCCTGTGTTCTTAATGTTCTTAACGTTTTGCAGTCCTCATTTCTTCCGTCTTCACAACAATCCTGTTTGTTTGGTAGCTTTCAAAGTGTAGGTGCTGCCACACTGAAATATTGATTTATTACAGATGCAGAACAGACCAGATCTTTCTCTCCCCCACCAATGCCCTGGGCTAAATTGGACAGGTAGACAGGACCCTGCTTTGACAGGTGGGTGGTCCTGGCCACCCTTCAAATCATCTGATGCCGTAATGGCATCAGGTGATTGATGCATTTCCAAGCTGACTGGCGGAGTGTAGGGAGAGGGAGATAGCTTAAAGAGCTGGCTCAACCAGCCATTTGTCAAGCATTTTGCAAGGGTCAGCAGTGCCTGCAAAAGCCCAGTTTTTCCTTTACATGCCCCCCACCTGGTGTCATATACAGTAGTACCTTGAGTTAAGTACTTAATTCGTTCTGGATGTCCGTTCTTAACCCAAAACTGTTCTTAACCTGAAGCGCTACTTTAGCTAATGGGGCCTCCTCCTGCTGCCCGCACCGCCGGAGCACGATTTCTGTTCTCATCCTGAAGCATAGTTCTTAACCTGAGGTACTATTTATAGGTTAGCGGAGTCTGTAACCTGAAGCGTATGTAACCTGAAGCGTATGTAACCCGAGGTACTACTGTGTAATGTGGGGTGTGTAGCAGGTGGGTGTGGCTTGCCCCCAAATGGTCTCGCGGGACAAATGGAGTCGCCTGGCAGGCCAGATTTGACCCACAGGGCGGAGGTGCCCGACCCCTGCTATAAATCCACGCTATGCCCTATTCAACCATCTGTGGCCATCTGAAGGTCTGTCCCAGGGAAGATGGAGCAAGCATGCTTTCTCCTGCTCCATTGGCTAGGACCTGAAGCAGTGGATTCAAGTTACAAGGAAGGAGATTCTGACTCAACATTAGGAAGACCTTTGGGGTCCCTTCCAAAGTTAAACGATTCTATGATCTGCAGGTGAAATTCCCAAAGTCGCTGGCTCCAAATTGTATATTCTGATTTCCCACCAGGCTGGCCTCCTGCAGCCCCACGTTTAGGAGACGTGGGGCTGCAGTGGAGGGGTGATGGGGAGAGACACATGCCTGGCAGTGCCAGGGGGTACATTTTCAAGCCTGGTCTTTTGCCAAGTCAGCCAATGTGCGTCCTGCTGACGCAACCCCAGGGCCTTCCGGGGGGGGGGGCGTCTGTTTTCACGTGGCGCCATGGCAACACCACCCATAATGATAGCCCTGGAGCCTGCTGGAGGAGGCATCTTCTGCGCTTGCCCTCACCTGGGTGACAGGTCCCTGTACCTGCTTTCTTGACAAAGGAGGGCTCCCTTTGATTCTCCACTGCCCCCCCTCCAGCTGCTCCAGAGGGCTGCCCCCTCCACTCTGCGGATGCTCCTTTGTGCCTCCACTTGCCATCTGTCGCCATTCTCTGCCAGGGCCCACATGCCCCCCTCCCCGATCCATCCTCCCAGTGACACATCAGCAGAGTCTTAGGACAGGCAGAAAGGAATTAGCTCATAATTGGTTCAAGCGCTCGTGGCCACGAGGTGCAGCAATGACAGCTGGCCCACACCTGAACATGAGTCCAGAAGAAGAGTGTGCTGGATCAAGGCAGTGGCCCATCCAGTCCAGCATCCCAGATGCCTGTGGGAAACCGCCAAGCAGGACCTGAGCCCAAGAGCCTTCTCTCCTTCTCTGGCTTCCAGCCAGTATTCAGTATTCCTGTATTCAGAAGCATTGCTGCCTCTGAGTGTGGGGGCAGAGCATGACCCTCATGTCTAGTAGCCATTGATAGTTGTCTCCTCCATGAATTCGTCCAATCCTCTTTTAAAGCCATCTAGATTGATGGCCATTGCTGCCTCCGGTGGCAGGGAGTTCCACAGCTATCAACTGCTTTGAAACGACAACTGCTAGGAGGGAGGAGAGGTCTTATTACTGCCAGGCATTGATCGCAACTTGGAGGCTCCATACTGCATGCAGAAGGAACCTGGGTTCAATCCCTGATGAGCTCTTCGCAGAGGCAAAAATATTTGGCTGCAGTTGGGGATCCTAAGAGCAGGGGTGGGAAGGCTATGGCCCCCTCAGATGTTGGTGCAACTCCCAGCAGCCATCACAGCCACAGGAGCTCCCCAGGTTATACTTTCTCGCGATTCTGTCCCACAACAGCAGAGGCCAGGGGTGGGCAACATGGTGCCCTCCAGATGTTGTTGGACTATTACAACACCCATTATCTCTGGCCATTGGCCACATGGGCTGCTGGGAGTTGTAGTCTCAGAGCATCTGGGGGGCCCTGTGTTAGCTTTCCCTGGGCGAAGCCATCATAAATGCATTAGGTGGTGTATATCTAACCATTTCCTCCAGCTCCAACACCCTTCCGCTGCTGGCGTTCGAAAATGTGTGCTCACAATTTCTAGCTATTTTGTACTTTCTAGAGAAATGCGGCAGTTTGATGTGTCTTCCCTCAAATCAGCTTCCATCCAATTTGAAAATGTAAGGCACTGTCACTTCCCTGTTAAGCTGAGGTGTGCCCATTTGAGACAGCCATTGCACATGCTCAAATGATTTCTTTTCCTTTTCGTGAACAGGAGTTCCAGGGTGTGGGTGTTTGCAGGTGTGGGGAACTCAAACAGGCAATGTGCATCGGGCAAAGACCTCCTTGCACCCCTCCTCATGCAAATGTGACTTGAAACGGGGGACAAGGGTCACCTTGCTGCATTTTAGGCCACTAATATGAATAGGGTGCCACAAGACCTTGTTGTTTTTGCAGACTAAACAGCACCACTTTTGCTGTTATGTACTGAAGTTCTCACCCTGGGCCAGCAGGGGGATACTGTAGATAGTTATGCAAATGAAGGATCGAAAGTGACGTTCAGTGATTGGCTAGTTACAGAAAATGGTTACTGTTGCATTCTAGTGGAGCTCTATATAAGCAGGCTGACTGAGCTCCTCAGTTCAGTTCTGTTCCAGCTTACAAATAAAGAGCTGCTTTGGAAGAATCGCTGTGTCGTCTGATATGTTCGCCCACAACTTAACATTTGCCCTTCTGGAAATTTATGTCTTCTTGCTTCTGCTCCTTACTGCAGAATATTTGTCAGCACCGCCAGCCTGACGGGGCGGCATTCTTGCCCTGGATTGCAGATACACAGCCTGATTGGTGGTGACCCAATTTCTAAACCTGGTTGTCCCAGCAATTGGGTGAGTTTTGTGACTGTTGCCAAGTAGTACAGGAACGACCACACCTTGCACGCATGTAATTTGAGCAAATTCAACCAAGGTTGAAATCACACAAGTGAAATCCAAGCAAGGCGGAGAGCCTGAAAGCTATTTCCGTGCTGGATGCGCTTGGGGTTACCTGTCATGAAAATAGCTTTTAAGTTCTCTACCTTGCAAAAGGGCCAAGTTCCACTCAGCGCAGCAGCGCTAGGA